TGGTCTGTAGTTCCCCAGGTCTTCCACCTTCCCCTTCTTGAAAATGGGGGTTATATTTCCCTTCTTCCAGTCCTCAGGAACTTCACCTGACTGCCACGATTTTTCAAATATGATGGGCAGTGGCTTAGCAACTTCATTCGCCAGCTCTTTCAGGACTTGCGGATGAATTTCATCAACCTGACTTATGCACGTTCAGGTTCTTAAGATGGCCTTGAACCTGATCCTCTCCTACAGTGGGCCTAAGGTCTTCATTCTCACAGTCCTCTCTGTGTTTACCTTCTAAGACTTGGGTGGTGTGGTCTGAGCATTTGCTAGTGAAGACTGAGGCAAAGAAGTCATTAAGAACCTCATCCTCCTCCAAATCCAGGGTAGCCAGTTCTCCTGATAGCTTCCGGAGAAGGCCCACGTTGTCCCTAGTCTGTCTTTTATTTGCTAGGTACCTATAGAAGCCTTTCCTGTTACCTTTTGCATCCTTTGCCAGATTTCATTCTAACTGGGCCTTAGCTTTCTTAACCTACTCCCTAGGTTCCCGGACAACATTCCTGTAATCTTCCCAGGCTGCCTGTCCTTGCTTCCACCTTCTGTAAGCTTCTTTTTTCCCTTTAAGTTTCCTCAGCAGCTCCTTATCCATCCATGGAGGTCTCCTGGCCCTCCTGCCGCACTTCTTTCTACGCGGGATGCAATACTACTGAGCATGTAGCAGGTGATCCTTGAATATCAACCAGCAGTCTTGTGCTCCCCTGCCCTCTAGGACTATATGCCATGGAACCTTACTAAGCAGGTTCCTGAAGAGGCCAAATTCTGCTCTCTTGAAGTCCAGGGCAGTGAGCTTGCTGCACACTTTTCTCACTGTCCTGAGGATCTCGAACTCAACCATCTCATGGTCTCTACAGCCAAGGCTGCCCTGGAGTGTCACATTTCCAACCAGCCCCTCCCTGTTGGTGAGCACGAGGTCAAGCATGGCACCTCTCCTTGTTGGTTCCTCTATTAGTCTTTCACGCAATCAAGGAACCTTCTGGATTGCTTGTGCCGGATGTCCTGTCCCTCCAACAGGTATCAGCATAGTTGAAGTCTCCCATGAGGACAAGGGCCTGCAAGCATGAGGCTGCTCCTATCTGTCTGTAGAGCGCTTCATCCACAGAGTCCTCTTGATCGGGTGGTCTATAGCAGATCCCCACAGTAATGTCCCCCATCGTTGTTGTCCCTTTGGCTCTGACCCAAAAGCTCTCTGTTGACTCCTCACCTATCCCCAGACAGAGTTCCATACTCTCCAGCCTATCACTCACATAAATAGCAACTCCCCTTCCCCATCTGCCTGGCCTGTCTTTTCTAAAGAGCCGGTAACCGTCCATTCCAACACTCCAGTCACAGGAATCATCCCACCATTTCTGTGGTGGTTTCTGTGATACCGATAACATTGTATCCCTGTAGCCTTGCACATATCTGTAATTCCTCTTGTTTGTTTCTCATACTATGGGTATTTTTATAGAGGCATCTGAGCCGGGCTCCAAATGAAGCCGACTCGATGGCTATAACAGCTGAAATCTCTCTACATCGCTCCAAGCACTTATTATAGGTGCCGGCAACTGACCGGGAGTGTTGGGATGGATCAATGCCCCCCTCCCCCAACACATCTAGTTTAAAGCTTTCTTGACCAGCCTGGCAAGTCTCCTACCAAAACAGCTCTTCCCTTTGTTAGACCGAGTTGGTCTAACTCAACCAACCTCTAGGAGACCTGGCCTCCCAAATTGAGTCCCATGTTCTAAATACCCAAACCCCTGACTATGGCACCACCATTCTAACCATTTATGAACCTGCCAAATGCACCTAGCTTTTTTAAGGTCCTTCTCTTTATCCTGGAGAATTGATGAAAAAACTGTCTGAGCTTCAGAGCCCCTAACCACCTCTCCCAGGGCTCTGTAGTCCTTCTTTATGTTCTCCAGGCTGCTGCTATCTGTATCACTAGCACCCTCATGGACCACTAGAAAGGGGTGATACTTGGCAATTTAGCTAAAAAGAAATATGTGTGTGTGTGTGTGTGTGTATAACTCTTCTTTTTGGGCCTGTAGTGTTAGAAATGTACATGTCACTGAGCTAGTAGCACCTGTACATTTGACCTGAACATCACTGGAGACTTGTAATGGTACCAGTGTCACTACGCTGTAGGGGTGTTTCACGGCTAGAGGTATTGCCTTCTGGTGTCACAGGGACACTATTAGAGTAGAAAATAAAATACCTGTGGCTAAAGATTTGCTGATTAGGAATGCAGGCATATGCTAGTAAAATCTGTATGAGGCATTTATGGTTTTATCTGTATAAATATGCTTGTTTGCATGATTGTTCTCTTTGTTACGAGGTTAAGCTTCATAAAACTTGTGTTGATATGCCTCAATATGTACCTCTTAGTTCAAGTAAACCTATATTTAACCCTGTTAGAGCTTTGACGGAAGAAACAACCACTTTCTTTTTACCTGAGACTTCTGTAGCTTCTCCTGGCAGATATGTGCGTGAAGTGTCCTCTATGACATTTCTGGCAGATACTTAATCCTTAGAAACGTTGAAAGCTGAATGCTGATGTCATAGTATGGTATATAGGGTTTACTAGACCAAACATTTTTTTACTGAATGACAGAGATGCTTATGTTATATTAATGTATGGTCTGGATACAATTCAGAGCTATGTGTGTGTGATTACAACAGACACGGTGGTTTTGATCTGTTATCTGCATGTTCAGCTGAAATGTTTTCTGATTGTATAGCAAATGATTATTTATGTGAATATAAAGTATGAATGGAGAGCTTAAGTTGTACTTGGTATATCTGTGTTTCTTACACTTTGTTATTTTTAATTTAAGGTTGCCTTTGCCTCCTGGAGCATTCTCAGGTCTTTGGGAAAATCAAGAAACATTCCAGAAGTTGTATTTCAAAAAATATCCAGTAAGAATTCTGAAATGAATTATATAAACCTTGCAGAACTGAATGACAGTAGGTTTAAACTAGATAGCAGTCAAACTGATCGTATCTTATTTTAATAGGAGATCTTTCTTTATCCATACTTTAAGCTTTTGGGAACACTGTGGTTGTTTTTTTTGGTTTTGTTGGTTCTGTTTTTTGGTTTTTATAGTTTTGTTTTGTTTTTTAAGCTCTGAAGCAGAATTAGTAAACCGCAAACTTCTGAACCTAAAAGTTGGTTTATGTCATTTGATTTAATAAAGGATACAAGCCGTGCAACATTAGACTAGCGTAGCTTCAAGTATACTGCTGCTGTTGACATGCAGTGCAGAAATACACACTTGTTCACTGTGAATACATGTGAGGCTTCTTACTGCTTTAGTTATGTTTCCTTGTTGGATGAACTATACAAGGACTGGCTTCCTCCTTTCCTTATAGAAATAGATTGGTCCTATGCAAATGTCCAAAATGGAAGGTTGGGTTCAATAAAAGTAAATAAATGGAGTAATCAGACAAATTATTTTTTGTGTACACTTGCATCATGATGAGGATATATGTTTGGATCCAGCAGACATGAATATCTTTAGGAACAATTTGACAACTGTCATTATATTGTAACAATTCCATTCTCCTTGTGTAGTTTCAGGCAACATCCTTTTCCAAGCTGTCAGGGATCAATGTAAGCGAAGTTGGAAAAAATCCTATTTATGTATTGTCTCCTGTTCTTTTTATCAAAGACTACACAACCATTCTGGGAAGGAAGGCACATGGTATACTCTAACATAAGAATAGTGAAAAATATTACAGAACTTAATCTTTTGGGCACAAAACCCATATTTAATTTGAAACAATAAGTTTTGTTTGTTTTTTTCATAGGAAATGATTAGATGTTCCTAGTACTAATTCTGAGTTTATATTTGGTTGTGTTGTGTTTAGGGATATTATGATACTATGGATGCAGGTTGTATGGATGAAGATGGCTATTTGTATGTCCTGTCTCGAGCCGATGATGTGATCAATGTTGCCGGACACAGGATTTCAGCAGGTGCAATTGAAGAGGTCAGCATTATCTGACAGTAAAATAGAAGAGTGAAAGATAAATAAAGTAAGCTGAGATTGAAAATCTCACAAAACCCTTTAATTTTCTTTCTGCTTTTTTTGATTGCATTTCCATTGGTACTTTTAGGCAAAACAGTAATTGTTTCAAGTCCTTCCTATTAGGGTGCTTTCCAGGACCATAATAAATTTAGTCAACGATAAGCAGTTTGTACTATGGGATTGGTAAGACAAGTATGATTTGACATTTGAAGGTGGAGTTAAGGGGCAATATGGTAGCATGGGAAGCATCCCTGTAAACTCTGATGACATATTTATTTGGGAATACATTAACATAATGTAGGGTCAATGTGCCAAGTAGTTTCATCACCTACTTAGGGGGAGAAACTTTTATTCCTAAAATAGAGTTTTAATTGTGTTTCTTTAAAGTGCTTGGTGTTGGTTGACTTCATGTAGACTCACATTCAATGCTTTTTCTTGATTTGAAGGGTCTCCTTCACAGTCTCTTGACAGCTGTTTTTCTCTTACTGCATGAGCAGTGCTAAATAACAATGAAAATTTCTGTAAAAAAAAAAAACCAACAACCCTGCTGTTAAATTGAAGGTCATTAATATAATACACATGCAACTAAAAAAGTTGAAAATAGTGCAGTTCATAAGAGTGTCTAAATTTGATATCATTGTTCCCTCACCTCTCTGGAACCACTATGATTGATTGCCAGTTACAATTTTCCCTGATTACATATCAAATGCTTATTCAGGGAGTATAGGAAAAGGTGTGCTGGGCTTGTACAAGGGAAAAATATGCTTTTAAGAACCCTGAATATAACTGTTCATGGATTCGAGAACTAATCTGTTAGTCATTTTTTGTATTATAGTGTCTATTAGTCTAGAGACTATTTTTAAAAAAAGACTAGAAAGCTTGAAAGAGAATAGAAGAAATTCTGATCACACAGACGTGAACAAATTCAGGTAAACATGGGCAATCCTTTGAAGATCAGTCAGCCAGGGAGCTGAACCAGCTGCTACCCTGACTCAGGTCTATGGAGACGCAACAGTGGCTTTCAGGCTGATTAAACCTCTTTCCTTGTGGAGTAATTTTTTTGTGTTGCTCTACTAAAGTGCAGCAGGGAGTCTCATCACACCCCTTACTGCTCTACTGCTCAGAGGCTGAGCTAGGCATTGTTTCTTCACTTCAGGCTGAATGTGAAACTAGTATACAAATGATGAATTGAATCACCTCCTCAGCTATATTACCTTTGTATCCTTCATCCCAAGCTCAGTTTCTTTATTTTCCTCCCTGCTACTTAGGTCTTTCCCATAGAAACAAAAAGTGTTTCATCACTACAAAATTCTGTAAGTTTTTCTATTCAGCTTTCAAAGAAAGTTGAAAAATGAGTGTTGTTAATGCATGCACAGCAAATTGCTAGTTAAATGGGAAAGCATTAACAAGACCACAATTAGCCCTTCAGTAAGATCAGTAAATACAGAATTAGAGTTTCACTGAACCACTGTCTAATGAAGTGATAGTCACCTTGTTGAACAAGTGTATTATCTGCATTTACATTATAGCTGCATTACAAGCTTAAAAAGTTTTTCTATGGTACTTTGACTAAGAATTTCAGCTTTATTGTGTTCCAAACAAATAGTTTATTTGTCTAAGTTATCTATTAGTGTCACTGGAGCTCCATTGCTACTGCAGTGCTGTAGGTGTTACTGTTTATATGGCTTGTGCACATCCCATTTAATTCATGTGAAAAATACAGTTTCAAAAGCTGTGCGTGTATGGTCATGCTTTTGTACTTTGATAGAGCATACCTCTACTTCAGAGCTAAGTGTTTCCCCTTTGCTTTTTTGTAGCATGAGACATTTCTACGACCATAGTTTGTGAAAGGAGTATAGCTTCTGTCAAAAAAAGTATGTGAGAAACACTTTGTGCAGGTTTATTTTCCTAAAAAGCTATTTGATGTGTGTGACCATAGCACAGAGAGACAGTTTCTCTTGCCTGTTTTGACTACAAATCAACTGTTTTGAGGATTGGTTATGGGAAACATTTTGAATTGGTCCTTCCACCATCAGTTTCACAAACAGCTCACACAAGAGCCTGCCTTTTGTTAATTGCAACAGCAATGATTCAGCTTTCCATTCCTCCTGCTTAAAAAAGAAAAAGCCTTTATTGTTAAAACTTCTTATAGTTAGTCTTCCTTTCAATTATCCCACTGCCTTTGATTTTGACAACACAGTATGTGAAGATCTGTTTTTAGCAAACACATCGTCTTTGTATGCACAGATAAACTAATATGCACAGTCGCATTACGTGGCCTCGGTGTGGCCTTGGTGTAGAGTCACATTAGGTCCTCTTTGTTGAGTACAGTAGACATGTTGAAAGCACCGTTGACAACAGGGTGCCCCCAGGGTCACAGATATTTAAATGAAAAGAGCCAGTTGCTTTGGAAGAGGGTTCACAACTGCTGGTATCTGAAGTCCAACTTTGTCCCAGACTTAGTGACACACATTTCAGTATGTACTGAGACATCTTGGTGATTTTTTCCTTGAAGTGAGAACCTCAGCTGGCTAATTGGAAAGAAAAGAGAATCTCTCACTTTTTTTCTTGAAAGATAATTTGAGATACTAGTGATACTGTCCATCACTTGTATAATTGTATAAATGTGTAGTAGAAAGGAGGTGACTCTGAATTAATTCCCTTTTTTTAATCTAAGGAGAGCAAGACATAATGTTTCTGAGAGAGTGAATGGAACTAGGCTGGCTACAAGCTGAGGCTGGGCCTGTATTTGGCTTTGGTTGGAACACTATGCCTTTGTGCAGCAAAGAATCAAAAAGATAGGAGTCAGAATGAACCACTATGATTTTATAGCCCTGTAGTTGGAGTGCTTCTGCGGTTTTGGTCCTTACCACTTAACTCCATGTTATTCATCATGTTAGACTACTGTTACTTGTTCCAGCAAAGATCTCAGTAACAAAACCAAAGATGTGATGCTCTCCCAAAGCTGTAAGTCACCTTTGCTTCGTTTTATATTTGTTTTGTACCGCCATACTTATTATTTATTATGTTTGTTTGAAAACTACATGTAAGTGTGAATGAAATTATACACATGTGCATCTGCAACATGTGCAGTTGGAATCCCAGAGTCTACTAAGTCCTTTTTGCTGTCAAAATGTAAGAAATAACTCTACTTTTTATGTCCATGCCTATGGATTTTTCTCACTGAAATACTCAGTTATTATTAGTTCTATTCAGTTTTGTTCTCTGTTCCACAGTGTATTCTCTTCCATCATGCTGTGGCTGACTGTGCTGTTGTGGGCCAGGAGGATCCTTTAAAAGGACATGTTCCTTTTGCATTGTGTGTACTGAGAGAAGGTGAGAGCTCACTGCTACTGATGTTACTTAGACCTGTGAAAGTATCAGAAAAGGTAAAGGACATGAACTTCTTCCCTAGGTATAAAGGCAGAAGAGGAAAAGATTTTGGAAGAGATTGTTGAACGAGTTCGAACTAACATTGGTCCAGTAGCAGCTTTTCAGAAGGGAGTGTTTGTGAAACAGCTGCCAAAAACGCGCTCTGGCAAGATCCCACGTTCAGCTCTTTCTGCACTTGTCAGTGGAAAGCCATATAAGGTAAGCTGGAGACATATACTTTAATGGTTAGGTGCGTGTGCACATCCAGACAGAACATCATGGTTTTGATTCTCTAGACCCTTCTGCAACTGGTCCATGATTTCAGGTACTACATTATATTTTGTTTCTACTGTAGCTTACCCAAAAGAGTCTCATGTTCCAGAGCTTTCCAGATACTTTTTTCTTGATTGCTTTTGAGAGCTAGATTTAGAAGATTCTCTGAATGAAATTCTGGTTTACTGTTGCAGGACAGCAATCTACTATCATGTGCTTCTGTATATTCTTCATTTTCAGATAACACCGACCATTGAAGATGCTAGCATGTTTAAACACATTGAAGAAGTGCTAAAGAAAAACTAAATGGGATAATTGTTGGTAACAAATGTGTCAGTTAATGAAGTATACAAAGAGACATTCTGTTAGGAAACACCACAATCTAAAAATTCCTAATGATCTGGGACTGAATTTTTTTGCTTTAGAAATATTACTGTGTTGTTTACCATATTGTCACAGCCAATGAAGCATACTAAAGTCTCTGCACATTGTCATTATATGCTGGATATTAAGTCTGCTAAGAATTGCAAATACAATTCATACACTTCTATAGCCTTAACATTTCAGTCCATTGTTGTATAATGTGACCAGTAACTTGAGTTTGTCTAAAATAGCTTATAAAAGGTAAGTCATGAACTGAGGACAGTAATAAATGGCAATTCTGATGTGAAATTATTACAGAGATAAATTGTCCTCTCTTGTAAATTATGTGCCTTTGTGGGCCTTGGGACTTGATGATCTTTAAGTTCCCTTCCAACTCAAACTGTTCTATGATTCTGTCTTTGAAATTTTTATAAATTTTAAAGTTTATTGCACTGATTTTTTTCCCTGTCTTTTTGCTATAAATTAGATTTCTGTAATTTTTGTACTCAATAAATTTCTGAAGTGTCTTTTTGTAGATTGATAGATAATTTCTGGCTTTCAAATCTGTGAAAATCTGGATTTGTCTGTAGTAATATTCAGTAAACCCCATGTATTCTAAATAAAGACAAGCATTTATCCTTTGCATTTTCTGATAATTTTGTTGTTGTGGTTTGTACCACTTGTAAGGATAACCAGAATATGCTTTTTCTGACATAATCAGATGTTTCAGGCTCACTGAGATATATGTAGCCAATACAGTTACTAGCCAGCCCATTCTTGACTTTATAGGCCATTTCAAAATACAGAGTTCTCAGCAAGCCTAGGGGCTGGAGGATACTCTCTCTGCATTCATTACTTCTCAATCTGCAAGTTTTTAATTGAACAATAAATGCAAAAATACCTTTAAAAATCTACATTCACAGGAAAGCTTAAAAGCAGCAAAGTTACTCAAACTTGGCAGTGCTTTCCAGAGGAAAAACTAGTAAGCAATATGGAAATTCAGATAAAAAAGAGGCTCCATACTTAGGTTAATATAAGGCAGAAATTAAGTCTAGACATATTTTGCTATGGCAGTGTCCTAAAAAGAGTCCAGAAATAGGTTAACTTCTGTTGGGTAGAGGTAAGGATGATAACCCTGTTAAGTGATAAAATAAACCAGCAGGCTGGTGTAGGAGCTAAAAGGGGATAGATAGCTAATTAACATGAGCAATACCCAGTGTTGCCTTGAGCCTGTTACTTTTTGTAGAGTCAATGAGCTCTACCAGTTACATAGGAAATTAATACAATTTCTGGGTGTTTTTTCACTGGAAACTGCATGCAACTGTTTTGAGCCAGGTCACACAGTTGTATAATAAACCAGCCAGGTTTGAGTCTGTGCTGTACTTGTTTTTTGCCGTATTATTGCAGAAGGTAGCCACCTTGCTTAGCTGTTTGATCTAGTTGAAAGTCCCAGTCCGAACAGAGAGTAGAAGCATTTAAAGACTGAGTAAGTGCTAATGATGCTTTATGGTAGATATGTTAACTATACAGATTAGTGATTTATATGTGGGAGTGATTTTGCTTCTCAGGGATGTCCTGATGACTTTCTTGAAATACCGCTTATATAAGTTGCAGTTAGTCGAACGTAGTGTTTTCTTACGGATGTGTTGGGGCTTTAATAGGAGGCCTATGCCAAATAATGGAGTGCCTTGCAGAGACACAGTATTTTTCAGTTTCACAATTCTACAACTCAGCAACTTACGCTGAACCAGGGCAAGAGAGAGATCTTGGGAGTTGTAACTGATGTGGGGTTTGGGGTGGGGTTTTCGTTGTGGTTGTTTTGTTTTGCTTTTAATTGGTGAGAGACCAATTAAAAGGTCTTGTCACAGAGATACCACGGTACATTCACGAGATGCATGGCCATTACTATTTTTTTTGCACAATAAAGGCTGAGATGTTAAGTTGCGAATATTTGCTGTAGTTATCCAGGCTGCAGCCATCAAGTCATAATTGTAGAAGCAGGGAAGCAGAGCTAATTAGTGAGAACACAAGTCCTCTAGTAAGGATGCTGCAGCAGGATGTAGGAGAAGAGAATTTAGTTCCTAGCTTATGTATAGTTTTCCCAATGACATCTCATGTTCCTGCACCAGTTTCTCCATCTGTAAGGAAAGGTAAGCCGTTTTCTAGTTTGGGGCTCTTTTGTTAAGGAAGAAAGACTTAATATCAGACTTAAAACTAACAGCAAGCAAACCACAACATTAGTAATGGAGATTTAAGAACTTACCTTTCTGGGGGGCTATTTGTTCATATTAATATTGACAAGAAACAGTTGTCTGTCCTCTGAACTGTTTGTGAAGAGCTTGAATAGTTAGCATTCTTAAAGTGTCTCTGGGAGAAACATACTTGTAATAACCTGTTTTGGTAGGAAGCATTTAAGATCAAGACTGGGATAGAAGAGAGGGGCAGTGTTGCCAGGTGTACTAATTCTGCTACCACCTTGCTAATGTGGAGGATTCCAGAAATGCCAAATGTTTCATTCATCAACTTTCAGGAAATCAGACAAAGACACACACCTTACTGCAGCAGTACAGTATGGAAAAACAGTTGTTTCACGGGCATTGCTTTTGTTTTCCAGAGGAGCCTTTTGCTCAGGAACTGCGACTGCAGAAAGAGAAAAGGAGCAGGAGTAGTTATTCTTGTGCATGGCTTAGGTGCTGCTGAGCAACCTGGTATGCCATGAAGGAAGAACAAGCCCATTCAACAAGTGGTAGGAGAGCACTGATTTTGGTGGTAGAGAGAAGCAGCATGTGGGTAGATTTTAATGGCCAGGGAGTTATTGAAACATGTCTGGGAGAGGCTGATGTAGTAATTACTCCCAGTGTACTGAAAGCGTTGCAGCCAACTAGACAACATTTAGCATAGCCACAATTCTTAGCGGTTGAGAGTACAGCTCTAGCTCACAGGAGTGTGGATAATGTGGGCTGCAAAAGAAATTCTTAAAATGGGAGCTGGTGAGTATATTTAAATGATACTACAACCACTGAAAATGGTGTTTGCATTGCTTTACTTTGTGACGTTCTGGATTTAAGTAATCTAAAAGAAGGTTGAGGGAAGAAAAGAGGGACCATCGGCAGCAATGCTGGTTAAGCCCAAAGAACTGTGTGTAAGGGAGCCATATCTTTATGTGTCCTAACCCAAGCCATGGTATCTCACCCATCAGCAAGTTCAGTGCTCCCTCTCGTGGCAGATTCTCACCTGTAGATCCATCATAACTTATACCTGTTAGTGGCAAAATGTGCTTATGCTTAGCTATGAGAAGTATCTGGCATCCAAACTATTTTAATGCTACTACGTACCAAGGTTAATAGACTTTAAACACAAATAGCACTGAATTCTTTTTTTATTGACATTGGGGGAGAAAAATCTTTCACCATCTGATTGACTGAAGTTTGCCAAATGAAAATAGACAAAACAAATGTTTATGTACGTGCAAACATTGCAGATTAAACTGCTAAAAGAAGTAACTAAAAGACAGGTCTTGAGCTAAGATCAAGCAGCAGAAAAATAGCAAATAGGTAAATGACTATTAAGTAGGTCTTACTTTGAAACTTCCCATTTAAACAAAGAATAAACAACAATAACACCACCAAATAAAGCCACAGCAGGTAATAGTTGCTCTTCTAAACTTTTATACACTATATATTAATCACTCTGTCTTTCAGTTATTTCCTCTGATAAAACTGACTTCTGTGAAGTCTCAGCAAGGCCATCTTGGCTAAAAGCGTAACATTAGACAGGAGCCTGTCTAATGCCCTGTTATAATGAAGAAATGGTGGGGTTTGGCTTCTCTTTTCTTTCTTTTTCTTTGTTGAATATATCTGGAAGTGAGAATCTGATTCTATGCAAATATTAAATTTATTTTTCCAATGCTGGCTGGTGTCTGAAGATCCTGGAACAAAAAGGTGGCTCTTGGTAAAGCAAGATTCTTCTTGGTCCACAGGTAACATAGAAGAAAGTTTTTGGTTTTTTGTATAAATCATGTTTTATTAAATTGCCTTTTTTTTTTTTTTTTTTTTTTTTGGGTAAGCAGTTCTGGGTTTATTTGTTGGTTTTTAAGAGGTGAACCTCTTAAAACAAATGGTTCTTCTCTATAGAGATCTAACATTTCCATTTTGTTTTTAGAGGTCCATTTTGGCTCCAGTTCCAGGTTACGTCATTCTTTTGTACATCATCAGAGGCAGGTATTCAGCTTTAAATATTGACAGATTTTCTCAGTAGGAACATGTTGAAGCTTCTAACTCTGCTAAACATATTCATTTGACTGTTACAATCCAAAAGCTGTAAAAATGGTGGAATGGAAAGATACAAACAGTATTATTGACACTGTATTGTCAAATGTTTGCACTGAGACCCCATGTACATAGATTTTATTTTTAAAAAATCATATTTATATCCATTTACATAAGACTTACACATTTTAAAAGAAATACATACACAGTAAATACGTAAATGTCTAGTATTTTACAATAAAACAGATGGAACAATGTAAAAATGAGTGGCTTCATTTGATAAACGCTTTGGATGTGCACTACTGCCAAATTTCTGATGACAGAGATGCTGAGAGGAAATGGGGAGGTTGTTTTGTTTTTCTTTTATTTTTGTAGTAATTCTTGTTTTAAACTAATCAGTACATGAAAGGAATATCGTATCTGTTTGTCTGATAAACCTTATGTGTTCTCTTCCCTATTACCCTGTTCTTGCAGAGAGTTTTAATGCTCTTTTTCCTAAGTAGTGGTAGTGCACTTCAGGTAAAGTAGAAGAAAGAGATGACATCTAAGGGATAAAAATAAACAAATGTTAATTAGTGAGATTCTTTGATTCCAATTTAGTCTAGGATGCAATGACACCAGAAAATGCTATAGTTCTAAGCTATTGCATGTTTTAGTAAAACATGGATTTTGAGT